TATGTATTTTCAATGGCAATTTAATCACTTACTTGAAGGGGTTCTTCATATTAGGTAGCTTTTAAATGCATGCTTTTAGGAGGAAGAATTAATATACAGCATAAAATGATGTTCATATCCTTTGATAATCAAAATAAAACATTCTATATATTTTTATTAATAGGATTGAATAATTTATGATACATTGATATTCAGTTAGATATGAGAATAATGTGGAGATACTAATGAAGCTGGAAATTTTGAGGGTAGTAGACTCAGAGGGTCACATCCCATTTTCTACAACGAGTAGGTGTGTTTGGGTCTTTGCTGAAATTAGAGGAAACAACAGGATCATTTTTTAATAATTGTCCTGAATTACACTACTCAAACTTCAAGACGATTTTATTTCTTTGAGGTACTATTTCAAAAATATTTAACTCTTGTTGATAGTTTATCTAAATAGTCATCAGGTTGCTATGAGACTTGAGTGAGAAAAAACACTGATGCCTCAGAAACCATCTGGAGGAGGACAGCTTTAGAAACTATGCTCACCTGAATTGGAGCAGGCAAACTGCTATCTTTACAGGAGAGAATTGCCAAAGATATGCCCCTTGATTGAAGCCAGTGGGGTCTGAGATTTTCCAGAGAGATGTCTCTTTTTATTTCTATGCTAGAGAAGTGCGAGAATTTCCAACAAGGTATTCCTTGTTTGGTTCTGATAGGCTTGCACACATTGTCCTGCCTGTTATTAGAGCCACATGTAATCACTGCATTATGAAAGAAGATGGTTTAACAAGTTTCTCAGAATCTGAGAAAACAGGGAGCCTACTGTATGTGGTAGTTGAACTTACTTAACCCTTATCAACCGTTTTCATTTTATAGCATGTATCTTTATCACCATGAATATACAGAAAATGACTAATTAACATTATAACATTTATGATATTAATAAATTGGCTAATGATCCTCTTGTATCATCCTATTATTTCCTGTGATATCCTGGAAATAGTTAAATCAAGAGGCCAGATCTGCCTGAGGTTTAATTCTTCTAATGTGATTCCTGGACTATATTGCCTATGACACACTGCCCTGCATCATGAGACACTTGACATCTACTTCAAATTATAATCAGTAAATTCTGGCATATAGGTTTTAGAATCAGGCGGTTATATAGTATACAGCTCCTGAGTCCTCCTGTATTATCTCTTAATAGCCGTGGGCAACTCTAATCTAACAGCTATAACTGCGATTCATCACACTGCTTGCCTGAATGCATTCTTCTGATAGCCCTTGCTTTCGTCCCTTGAACTATGTGCTCAAATCAGAGAGCATAGTATTTACTTCCCCTCTGTGGGTGCATTATGGTATATTAAGACCTGAAAAACCAAGTGGCATGGAGTTGCATGCATTTAATCCCTGAAATGGCAAGCAGAGGCAGGCAGATCTCTGTGTTTTTGAGGTCAGTCTGGTTTACAAAGCAAGCAGGACAGACTCTGATATTACAGAAAGACCCTGTCTCAGAAAAAAAACAAAAGGAAGAAGAAAAGGACTTGCAAAATTGAGTTGCTATTTTGAGTATTATAACCATCAATCCAGGAATCAAGATATTAATTTAAGTGACATTTCTCCACATATGCTGAATTAATGGTTTACTTCGAATTTTGGGGATTTACCTTACATAAATGCAGGACTACACAGAAAGAAGAAAAATATAGAGGCAGCTTTATAGTCCTGGTGAACAACAATATTTAACAGGTGCCGGTGAAAACTCACTTCACAATGGTTTTAGTAAACTCTCCTAAATCTTGTAAATGTTTTCAGGTGCTAAAGGATTCTGACTTTTGAGTTAGGACAGTAGATTGTCTACACTTCCCTATAACGCCCCACTGTGAAGAGGAGCAATGGTACTCAAAGGCTCTGCATCATTACCTGCGGGACAAGTCCTCACAGGAATTGTTGTTGTCTTGGTGCTCTTTGCCCATCTCACTAGTGTCAGTTGGACTGTCCAGGGGACAGAAAGCCTTCTCCCCATCAGGGCAATACATTGAGTTCTCATCATGAAATAAAATCATTTTTTCTCCAAATATTTTCAGACAGTTTTCAATGAGAAACTATACATGGGAAGTCTGTGACAAAACAAGACACACACAGAGGGTCTCTGTCATTTTTATGCCTACAAATCATGCTTGATATATGAGATTTGAGGGTTAAAATTGTATAATTCAAAATTCTGACAAAAGTCATCTGTATAAAATACATCAGAGAGTTGAATGTTCTGCTAGAAATTGCAAAGAATCTACTGAGATCAAATATAAAAATGCAATCAATACAGTGAAATAAAATATTAGATGACTTCCAGTGTTTCCATTGTGATGGCTAGTATATATTGTCAACTTGACTAACTTTGGTTTCATTTATCACACACACGGTTGATCATGTTTGTTAGGACGTTTATAAAAAGGCACAACTCAGGAGGAAAGGCTCCCTTCGATTGAGGACATTATCCAATTGATAGTTCCTTCGGGGTGAAAAAAAGGGTCAGGCAGGCAAAACCGAGCATTCATATGTCTCTGATTGCTCAGTGTAAATGCAGTGCTAACAGCTTGATACTAGGGTTCACTGTTCTGGGACACCTTTGAAGTAAGGTCTAGTGGGAAAGAACAGGACAGTTGTGGATCTGTAATTGCAGGAAGTGTGGCCACCGTCTTTACTTCTCTTTATCTGATTTCTCACAATAAATGGGATAGGTTTTGGGAGTCTGACACACCTTATAGTAGTACAGTACTTTATAATATATTCCATACAGCCCTAAATGAAATGGGTCAATCAATAGTAAATCAGAAACTCAAAGACTGAGAGTCAAAATAATCACTTTTTCTTTATACTGAATAAATTTTTGTATTTTAGTATGGAATTTTAAAAGTACCTAGTTTAGAAGAGTGCACTCAAGAATTTCTCTACACCAGTCATAATCAAGTACAAAAGGATAAGGGTATAATAAGTCATATTATCTATGCCAGTGAAAAACAAGCCATATTGCCTTTGTTTATAGGAGAAAACCACCCTGAGAACAAGAAATTTATGCCTCCCTCATTGGTGACATCAAGGGTTCAGTCTTAATTGCTGAATCCAGCATAAATGCCATTTTTCATAATTTTCCAATATTTTCTGTCTCTGTTAGTCGGATGATATTTGAAATTTCAAATGACAAGTGACTGAATATTTTGCAAAAATAACAAAATAAAACCTTAAAAGACTACCCTGTATTTCAGTCTCATCATGAAGATTTGATTTACCTGGGTAGTCAATACATGTCTCAATACCATTTTGAAGATATCATATCTTAGGTGACGAATATGCAAAGCTGTCTGGCTATAAAAGGCAAAAACATTATCTGTTATGTGAGTACTCATTTCAGGAATTCATGTACACAAACATATTTCACTGAAGGTTTAGCCTTAATTAGATATGGCTTTCACAGGTAAACATTGTGGAGCACTGAAAATATTCCATTAGGAAACCAACTCACTGCAGCATCCTAGTCTCATGCTCCACCCACAGAACTAGGTAAACTGGGGCCTGTTTCCAGGTGGCCTGACTGTGCTTGGGGTTGCCACTAGGAAACAATACAAAAAATCAATGTAACAAAGAGTTGGTTCTTTGTGAAAATCAACAAAATAGACAAACCTTTATCCAAACTCACCAAACCACAGAGTGTGAACATGCAAATTAACAAAATCAGAAATGAAAAGGGGGACATAACAATGGACACTGAGGAAATCCAGAGAATCATCAGATCCTATTTTGAAAACCTATACTCAACTAAATTCAAAAATTTAATGGAAATGGACAATTTTCTAAATAGATATCACTTACCAAAATTAAATCAAGAACAGATAAGCAATTTAAATAGACCTATAACACCTAAGGAAATAGAAGCAATCATCAAAAGTCTTCCAACCAAAAAAGCCCAGGGCCATATGGCCTCAGTGCAGAATTCTACCAGAAATACAAAAAACAGCTCATACCAATTCTCCTCCAAGTATTCAATGCATTAGAAGCAGATGGGACTCTGCCAAACTTTTTTTACAAGGCTTCAATAACATTGATACCCATGCCACAAAAGGACACAACTAAGAAAGAAAACTTCAGACTAATATAACTCATGAACACTGATGCAAAAATACTCAATAAAATACTGACAAATCGGATCCAAGTACACATCAGAACAATCATCCACCAAGATCAAATAGGTTTCATCCAAGGGATGCAAGGATTGTTCAACATATGAAAATCCATCAGTGTAATCCAACATATAAACAAGCTGAGAAACAAAAATCACATCATCATCTCACTAGATGCAGATAAAGCCTTTAACAAAATCCAACACCCCTTTATGATAAACATCTTGGAGAGATCAGGGATAACAGGAACATACCTAAACATGATAAAAGCTATATACAGCAAACCAACAGCTGACATCAAACTAAATGAAGACAAACTAAAGTCAATTCCTCTAAAATCAGGAAGAAGATAAGGCTGTCTATTCTCTCCATACCTCTTCAATATTGTACTTGAAGTTCTAGCTAGAGCAGTAAGAATACAAATGGAGGTCAAAGGTATTCAAATTGGAAAGAAAGAAGTCAAACGTTCACTATTTGCAGATGATATAATACTTTACATAAGTGACCCAAAATACTCTACCAGGGAACACCTACAGCTGATATATATCTTCAGCAAAGTGGCAAGATACAAGATCAACTCAAAAATCAGTATTCCTACTATATACAGAAGATAAAAGGGCTGAGAAAGAAATCAGAGAAACATCACCCTTTACAATTGCCACAAACAACACAAAATACCTTGGAGTAACGCTAACCAAAAAAGTGAGGAAGGGGGAGAGAATAAGAAGCAGAGGTTCCTGGCTACTACTCCGAATCTTGTACCAGATTTCTTAGATCCCAGAGGCACTGACAAAGGGAAGGATGTCTCATCCTGTTTCCTCGCGTTGCGCTTTAGCCATGGCAGAGGCAGGGGCCGAGCTGAGTGAGACCCTCACTGAGACAGCGGTTACCGTGACATCAGAGCCCGAGAATCAGAGCCTAACCATTAAACTTCAGGAACGGAAGCCAGAGAAAAAAATAGAATGGACGACTGACACTGTGGACAATGAACATATGGGGCGTCGCTCATCAAAATGCTGCTGTATTTGTGAGAAACCTCGGGCATTTAGTGAAAGCTCCACTGAGAGTGAGGAGGATGAAGAACGCTGTGGTCATACACACTGTGTACGGGGTAATCGCAAAGGATGGCATCATTCAACCCCAGGACGCACCCCAACTACTCCCCCTCCCCCAGCCTCCTGACCCATCTCAGCCCCCTCCAGGACCTATGAAGCATTAAATCCCTCTCACCATTCTTGTGTCTGCCTGGTCCCAAATGTATCCATCTGGCTACATGGGGATTCAACCCATGGTCTGATCCCTTCTCCCGCCCCCTTCTTCCCTCTCCTGCCTGATAGAGAAGAGGAGGGTGGATAGAGATCCTGGAATTCTGACTTGCTGATGTCCCAGAACCCAGGCTTCTGGGTTTGCCCAGCCTCTCCTCTCCTACAGCTTGCCCTGTGCCTGGGATCCAGGCATCTTGGTCTCAGTCTGTCCCTTTTGTTCTCACTGCCAAAACAACTGTCCTGAGATCCAGTTATCTAGGCCACCTGCACCCTTAGCTTGAGTCCCAAGCATTTAAACTGGGTTTTCAACAGTCCCAGGTTTCACTGTCAGGACCCCAGTCAGATTCCAAGAAGTCTTACACCCCAGCTCTGCATATTAATCCTGGCTTACAATTCTTCCACTTATGCAGTTATTCTAAATCTTAGTCATTGCCTGTAGGAATCTAAGGTTTTAGGGAACACCATAAGGTTCCCAGCCCTTCTGCTCCTACATACCCCTTCTGACCCTCAAAAGGAGTTAGGAGAGGTCTTTGTCAGTCGCATATAATGGAAAGTGGACCCCAAAATTGTCATGACCTGAATATAACATTTCTGACAAAGCTGGCTGAGACCAATGACTTAGAGCCAACGACTTTCTTAGCCTTTAATCTTTGAGCTTCATCACTGTTGTAAAAGGACCTGGGTCCCTAAAAGGAAAGAAGGAGAGACCAAAGAAATGAGGGGACAGGCCCCTGCAGCACACTCCTACCCTTTCCTGGCTGATGTCTCTGCCAACCCAGGTGTCTTGCTCTCTCAGCCCTCCCCAAGTGGTGCTGGAAGCTAGGTATTGTCCTCCAGGCCTCTTGCTGTGCATAGTACAGAGATCAGCAAAACCCATACCACCACTGAGATCTCATTTATTGCCACAGATGCACAAAACAAATAACCCAACATGGAAAAAAAAGAAGATACCAGAAAATGGAAGGATCTCCCATGCTCTTGGATAGATAGGATCAATATACTAAAAATGGCAATTTTTAGGTTCTTTCCTGTTTCCCACACTCTCTGTCAGTGGAAGTGCAGACTGGGACTCTCCTGATCCATGTCTAAAATCCATATATGAGTGAGTACATACCATGTTTGTCTTTTTGTGACTGGGTTACCTCACTCAGGATGGTTTCCTCTAGTGCTATCCATTTACCTGCGAATTTCAAGATTTCATTGTTTTTTTCTGCTGAGTAATACTCCATTGTGTAAATGTACCACATTTTCTCTATCCACTCTTCAGTTGAGGGGCATCTAGGTTGCTTCCAGGTTCTGACTATTACAAATAATGCTGCTGTGAACATAGTGGAGCAGATGCCCTTGTTGTATGAATTTGCCTCCTTTGGATATATGCCTAAGAGTACATTGATTCCCATTTTCCTGAGGAATCTCCATACTGCTTTCCAAAGTGGCTGTACGAGTTGGCACTCCCACCAACAGTGGAGGAGTGTTGTCCTCTCTCCACATCCTCGCCAGAATAAATTGTCTTCGGTGTTTTTGATTTTAGCCATTCTGACAGGAGTAAGATGGTATCTCAGAGTTGTTTTGATTTGCATTTCCCTGATGGCTAAGGATGTTGAGAACTTTCTTAAGTGTCTCTTGGCCATTTTAGCATCCTCTATTGAGAATTCTCTGTTTAGTTCTATACCCCACGTTTTGATTGGATTCTTTGTGTTTTGGAGACTTGCTTCTTGAGTTCTTTGTAAATTTTGGAGATTAGCCCTCTGTCAGATGTGGGGTCAGTGAATATCTTTTCCCATTCTGTGGACTGTCTATCTGTCTTGTTGACTGTGTCCTTTGCCTTATAGAAGCTTTTCAGTTTCATGAGATCCCATTTGTTAATTGTCGATCTCAGTGTTTGTGCCACTGGTGTTATGTTCAGGAAGTGGTCTCCTGTACCAACTCATTGAAGAGTATCTCCCACTTTCTCTTCTAAAAGTTTCAGTGTGGCTGGATTTATGTTGAGATCTTTGATCCATTTGGACTTAAGTTTTGTAAAAGGTGATAAACATGGATCTATCTGCAGTCTTCTGCATACCAGTACCCAGTTATGCCAGCACCATTTGTTGAAGATGCTTTCTTTTTTCCATTGTATGGTTTTAGCTTCTTTGTCAAAAATCATGTGTTCATAGGTGTGTGGGTTAAAATCAGGGTTTTCAATTCAGTTCCATTGGTCTACCTGCCTATTTTTATGCCAATACCAAGCTGTTTTCTGGACTATAACTATATAATAGAGCTTGAAGTCAGGTATGGTGATGCCTCCTGAAGTTCCTTTATTGTATAGTGTTGTTTTGGCTATCCTGGGCCTTTTGTTTTTCCATATAAAGTTGATTAATGTTGTTTCCAGGTCCTTGAAGAATTGTGGTGGAATTTTGATAGGGATTGCATTGAATTTGTAGACTGCTTTTGGCAAGATTGCCATTTTTATTATGTTGATCCTACCAATCCAAGAGTATAGGAGATCTTTTTGTTTTCTGGTATCCTCTTTGATTTCTTTCTTTAAAGACTCAAAGTTCTTGATATACAAGTCTTTCACTTCCTTACTTAACATTATCCCCAGATATTTGATGCTGTTTATGGCTATTTTAAAGGATATTTTGTTGTTTGTCACTAAAAACACAGATAAGAGATTAAAAATGTTTTAAGTAAATTCCAAGAGTTACTATAGTTCAATTTTTTCTAAATCTCTAAGAGTTGGAGTGATTTATAACTAAGATAAAATATTAGAGCAGGGTGGTGTTAGCCCATGCTTTTAATTCCAGCAGAGATAGGCAGACCTCTATATGACAGTTGTTTTCTAAATTCTAGAGTTACAGTGAGAAAGATGGTGGTGTCCAAACTTAGATACAGCTCCTAATTGTTATGTTTGAACATCAGAGATATATACCATATTTACAGATTATTATAAAAATCCTTGCCAGGCGGTGGTAGCGCACGCCTTTAATCCCAGCACTCGGGAGACAGAGGCAGGTGGATCTCTGTGAGTTCGTGGCCGGGCTGGACCGACAGCCTCCAAAACAATACAGAGAAACCCTGTCTCGTAAAACCAAAAAAAATCCTCTACACGTGTACTAAAGAGGTAGCAAATTTCCAATGGGAGCAGGAATGAAAGCAGCATTTGAAACTGTCAGGAAACTCTTCTCCATGCACGCCACCCAACCAGTATTAAACCAGATGATACCCCAATTAATGATTTCATATTTTTGGTATACTAGCAGCTGGGGACTCTTCATAAAAAAAGGAATCTACCAACATTTGCCTGTTGGCTTCTATTGCAAATGCCTTCTATATGTGTAAACTAAATATTCTCTCATTCATTCCCAACCACCCTATATTGTCATAAGGGCACCACTTACTATGATGGGTTTGGAACAATTCAAATACAGAGTCCTTTGCAAGAATAGCCATGGAAGGAAAGGTATTATAGTTCAACTGGTACCTATGTGAATTCCTTTGTGACCAGAATGTGGTAACAAAGGTTTCAGTGCCCTCTCATACTGAGGAAATAGTTCTATTGCCTATAATTCCCATCCCTAAACCTCTCATCCCTCCCCCTACAAGAGGCACCATTCCACAGAGTGGACATTGGTCACAGAATTTGACTAGCAGATGGTGTATTGATGGCTCATCAACCACTCATGGAACCAAAATGTAATGGAAAATGGCAGCCTGTAGACAGGGTGATGGAATGACTGTTATTGAAGAAGGAACTATTAAGTCAGCACAACACACTAAAGTAATGGCAGCACTATTGGCTGTAAAGCAAAATAAGAAAGGTAAAAGGAAAATCTATATCTTCTCCAATCCATGGTGCCTGTGCAGTGGTATAGATATATAGTTATCAAAATGGAAAGCCACTAATTGGCAAAGATGTCTGGTTATGGTAGGCATGAATAGAAATTGCAGCACCTAGCAAAAACGTAGTAAAGACATCAAATTTTTATGTAGCTCATACAGAAAAGACAGACAAAACATCTGAAAATAATGAAATAGTGGACAAATTGGCATCATGATTAATTAAAATTTAATTAAATTTTTCCAGGGAACAAATTTAGAATAAATCATCAAGAATGGTGGGTTATACATTAAAAAATCTTGGAAGTTTATGCCTAACACTAACAAATAAATGAAAATGGAGACCCAAATTAAACCAGGACAACCCTATGAGAATAACTACTCTAAGGAATCCACAACCAGTGGGCATTTCACACCTTGAATCCCAGCATATGGGAAGCACATGAGCTTAATCCCAACACTTGGGAGGCAGGGGCAGATACACAAGAATTGCGGTGATTTTAATTTAAAAGTCACTTGTAAAAGGCAGACTGAAATTCAAAGTGAATTTCTTCTGTGGATGAAAAAATAAATATATTTTAACCTTGTAATTATATATTAACAAAATGGGGAATATATGTATATTTATTTATCCACACATAACAAGGCATATTTAGTTTCAGATTTTCAAAAGAATTTTTTCTTATTTGATTATACTTTTTCTTTTGCCAAAAATACATTTTGCCCTAGGAAAGATAAACTGCCAAAACAGGACCCCCCACTTCCTGAGTTAGGGTTTGGAGCAGAGTTTTTCTTTTCTTTTTCCAGGAGCACAAAAACATCCAACTGGAGACCACTGGACAAGTGAAACATCTGAAGAAAAAGGATGGACCACCAAGGGAAAATGTCCCAAGGAAAAGAATACATTGCCCTAATGGCCTAATGACACCAACCTCCAGCAGGGTAGAATTTCCAAAATCTTCCCAAATGCTTGTTTCTGTTGCGCTCTACAGTCATAAGTGGCACATGGTTCTTGTGGTCCCAATTCAATTGAAACTTGAAGTTGGCTTTGGGGTTGTACTGTTGCTTTCTCCATCTCTAAAATCATGCATGCTTGTTAAAGCAAAATCCAAAATCTCTGTCTCATATGAGAAGAGTCACCTGATATGAGACAGAGGAAAACAAAACATATGGGATAATTCTATTGCCACTAGTCTCAAAATCTTTTGGTTTCCACTTCACTCTCTAAAACTTTTTAAAGGTATAAATATA